CATTTTTCGGTGTCTGCCTTCAAACGAACTCACACAGGTAGCTGTCCACTAAAGATCGAAGTGTGCCGCATTGGCGCTTATTCTGCATCTTGTAAATGTGCCAGAGAGATTCGATGGTTTGTGTGTGAGCTCCAGTCGTTGGATCCACAAAGTTTTCAGTATGATTAACCGTTTGATGAGTATAACTCATGCCAATCATCGATTCAATGCCTTGATATGATGTCCACATATCGGAAATGATAATTGAGCCGGGAGCGATGCAGGCCTGAATTGTGTCCAGCAGAGTGGCCGCAGTTCGATCTGGCACTGCATACAAAAACACTTCTTTAGTCTCCCGGCAAATCCCTCCGAAAATCCACTGCTGGGGAAGGAATCACTCCATGGCTTTGCAAAAAACGTATTGCTGTTTCCTTGTCATGAACGACCGCCGAAAGCGTCAGAAGGTTCATGTCAGATTTTACGTGCGAACGTAGAAACTTTTTGGACAAAAATGACCTTAGAAGCGGATAAGGAGTGTTTTTATGGGGCACGTTCACATGCATTACGTACACTGGAGCTGGCAAACAGTGGCGGGGCTCAACTTTTCACGCGTGCCCTTTTTGCACTATTGATGGGGCTTGACTTTTCAGGTGTACCCTTTTAGCCTTAGTGGCGGGGCTTAACTTTTTGCGCGTGTTCTTTTTGCATTAGTGGCGGGGCTTAACTGGAAAAGATCCGGAGGAAGTTCATCTGGACCAGATGATTTGTGGCGCTTTAGTAGGCGAACCTCATGGAAAACCTCAGCCTTTGTCGGTGGAGAAACATCCACGTGCCAGGGAGCACTGTGAACCCCGCAAGATGGACTTGGTTGCCTGCTGGCCGGTCGAATTGATCTTCCAAGTACTCTGCCCATTGTACCAGACGACGGTGACAACTGTGAATTAGTTCACCGTCATTTTCACGCAAAACCTCACTCACTGTTGGTCTTCTGCCTCTCGTGGAGCGAATAAGTTGGAAGAGTTTGCGGGAGTTTCCTGAGGAGGCTGCTCGCTCCATCTCAAGGACGCGCTGTGTCCACTAAACCTCGCGATCCTTCCTGTGGAACTGTCTGAGATCAGCACATGCGGTTCTGCGTAGTGCGTTGTACTCAACTCCAGCGGGAATTGTTCGACAACTTTCCATTAATTGGAGAGACTGTGCGGAGATCCAATGACTAACAGCCCGCCTAGTGAAGCCACAGATCAAGGTAGCGGACTTTCGTAAGGCGGTCTGAATCCGTACCCAGTGTGTCTCCACATCGGAGGATAGAGAACGTAGGTTGGGGACTAATGTGTTCTGAAATGCGCCGAGGACATTTGGAAAGGCGAGCTTGTCCGTGTCAAACCGCTTCCGGCGACGCTTTTGGGTGCATCCAAAGCGAAGAACTTAGCACACACGAGTGCATGATCCGAAGTCAGGTAAGTGTTTCATATTGACTTGCAGTCCGTTATGCAGCTGTGCCAACGGTAACTAACAGCGAGGTGGTCAATTAGAGTCGGTCGCCAGGTGGCTCGTTGGCGCCAGAAACGTCGGAAATTGGTGCTGGATAGGAACAAGCCGTGGTCGGTGCACAGTTGTAGGAGTCGATCGCCGTTGTCCATCCTGCGAGTACCGTGGCTGTGTTGACCCCCAAGTTCGCGCTCATGAACCTCTAGTCTACCGACCTGATTATTTAAGTCACTGGCGAGTATCACGATGTTCGTGCGGCGTATTTGCGGAGGTCGGTGATTTGGCGGTAGAACCCGTCTTTAGCTTCGTCCGGGCTGCAGCCAGTAGGAGCGTACGCCGCCAAAATGAATAAGCAGCGCCTACTGCTCGCGTGGCTAGAAGATCGCACTGAGCTTTCCAAGCGGACTGCACAAAGACGACCGTTGACCAGGAACCAGTCAATGAGCGCTGCCTCAGCACGCGCGCTTAATGCAACTCATATGCCGGCGGAACCAGCGGCTGCCGCTGTCGCATCTCCAGATAAGCGCAAGGTGAATGTGCTATTGGAACTTGAGGAGGGTGAGAACAATCGCAGCGTTGTGTTGGAGTCTTGTAAGCGGGTTTCGGTAAGGCGGCAAACGTCAATTGAGAGGTTTTGCAAGGTTCGCGCAAGAGCAGCTTGTGAACCGATCTGCAAGAGCGTTCGAACATTGAACGTAGCTAGGTTGAAGAGCGAGCGGGGTGTAATAAAAGTCTTGCTGTTGGTATTGGAATGTGTGCGATCGGTTTTAAGCGGTTCATTGAGGTCAGAGGTACCGTTTTTATTTGCAATGCACTTTTGGAGACTCGAAATTGAAGGCGGGTTGCCAAGAACAGGAGGGTTGAATAAAGGTGGAACGAAGAACGTGGTTTGCGGTGCGGTAGAGTGAGGTTTAGCATGCCCGGCCGATAGCACCTCGGCCAAAGAGAGTTCAGAGAGCGAGACGTGAGCAGAGAGTTGTAAATCCATCATTTCATGTGTTGTGTGGGCATACAGCTTCCCGGTTTCCCACGCCGAGGAAAGAGGATGGCTTACGGGGCCCCACCCGGAGTCTTTGGTCATAGGGACCTGAGCCGCAAGGCAGCGGGGCGAATTCAGGGAATCGCTCCCATTGGGAGCCGGTGACCGATTGCTAGATTCATACGCCTTTCGTTTGGCTGGCTGTCAAACAGGGGCCCAATACTCCTAGTAATTCAGCTGCAAGCTGAATGATTACAATCCTCCAGGGAGGTGAAGCAAGGGGCAGTGACTTTATTTAGTGGCGAGTCACGTTCGCCACGTCGCAGTGTCGTTAAACGGATGTGGCATTTTATAGGGAGAAGGCTTGCCAGGCGAAAACGCACCATATCCTGGAACACTGTCGCCGAACTTTTCTCTGGAAAGGGAAAATCCCGATCCACTCAGCTGGCATCACGAGGAGGTAGTTCGGCAAGCCAGGTTGGCTAGGAAAGTGATGCTCAGCCTGTGAGTAGAAGAGTTGGGACGATACTCAGCTGACCACGACGTTAGTAAGCTTGCAAGCTTGTTGGGTTCAGAAAGCTGCAGAAAATGCGGAACAATGCAGATAAAGATCATATATTGTTTTAAAGGTCGATAAGTACTAAAGGTAGTTTAAGTAAAAGAAATAAATCTTATTTTTAGTTCTGGGGCCCTCAACCTGGATGAATATGACCCAGATGGTTTATCAGATAGTCTAGCAGGGCCGCTCCGTAGTCTTAAGGATCACAAGCCTTCAATGTAATCTGAGGGCGCGGTTTCGAGCCTGCGTAGGGACCGGGTGACCCTTGTAGTATCGTTAGCCCACGTGCGACCGGTGGTGGTTACGCGGCAGCGAAGCGTCGGTGTTGCTTGCCAGCATACTGCCGATGCTAGCAGAAGAGTATACAAGGATGATCTAAGTACTTTCCTTTTGAGTAAGAACAGGCGAATGTGCCCGAGCATCAAAAGAATGCAGGGACAGAACCCGGGGAGTGGTCACAAGACACGAACAACAGCACCAGTGATTCTCCTCGCAATGAGGGGTTGATATACGATTGAATAAGCATGTCACGTTTGTTATGATGAGCAACATCGAGTCTGAAGTGTTTGCATGGGTGGCGCATAAGGAAGTACATCAAAGGAACATCACAGATGTACCACGAAAAGAGTATACCTAGATTGCAACAACTAGTAGTTAGATAAGGCACTCCGGTGTACTTTGCATTAGTGATTTTGGGCAATGAAAACAGCGTCCAAAGCCGTCTAGTGATGGCGTTATTTAGTTTTCGTGACAGCTGGGTGGATTTCAGTAGTCACCTAGATCCAGCTTCCCCTTTTAAAGCAAAAGAAACGCAATGACAGTTACCGTCAATGTCATCGGAAAAGGTAACACTGTAACTAAACACTAGAAGAGGCATGAATGGCAGTCCCACAAGGCTTTAAGCCAAGATTGCAAAGCATAAATGACAAAGTATCAGGTTTAACGAAACTAACAGTTAATTGAACGAGCGCAAAATTGTCGTGTCGAATTAGGAAGGATGTACAGTTGAAATTCGGCTGTCACTTGTAAGGCGTACGTTCAACGGACGGAAGGTGCGAAGGAAAGTGATTTCAGAAGTCGTCACAAACAGTTCAGGTGCAGATTTATCGGTTCTAAGTAAACAAATATGAGTTCGACAATAACCATCAGCCCTTAACATACATAAGACAGATGGAAGACAACTCGATGGGCCAAAATATGCCGTTACCCTTGCGGCACGAGAGGAGCAACGATAACAGTGCAGTAGAATGGATCACGTTCGCTCATGCGGATGAATTCGAACACAAACAGAGAAGACTGGTTAAAATGGAGGCAAAGAACCAAAGTAAACTTAGGAGCCAGTTAGTGCCCGTCCGATGGTAGTTACTTACCACCACACCCTACGTTGATACCGTCAGGCTTTTAACATTTCCGCAATTCGCCATAACTACTGCGACTGTGGCAGTGGCAAGATTAGTGGATTTTAGTAGTATAGGCAACAGCTGGTGTTTTTCCTAGTAGAAGACACGACACAGTAGCTGTGTGACCAGGGAGTAACTATGTAAAATAAAGTTTGAGTCATACTCCTGCTGTAATTTGATTTAAATTTTTATTTGTTGCTAGAACTATCATGACCTGGCCAAGCAGTTTCAACGAACATATCTGAAGGAAGCCATGAGTTAAAAATGCGTGCATCACGGAAATTGTGGCTTAAGTGGTTCAAAAAACAGGGATGGTTGCATAAGTGTTAGCGGAACTATGGTGCTAGCAATCACTTCCAATAGCCAGTGTCACCGCGAGATCTAGGTCCCATGGCGTGCCCGTGTAAAACCGTAGCTAGCAAAGTGCAATCGTTCGCGTCGGTCGCATTGACCCAGCGAGCAATCAATGCTTGAGTGCAGTATTCCGTAGGATGACGCGTCTGGCGTGTGGTCATATAGTTATGAAGGCAACGAGACCGAAACCTTAGTCAGTATTAACAGTATGAGAGTTGGAGGTCAAAATGTTTGAGCTTACCCGGATGGAAGCATCACAGTAGGATCGCCACAATCACATGCACCTCCAGCAAGGCTCTTGAATTTATTGAAATCATGACCAATGTGATTTCCCGAAGTAAAGCAGGAGCTACATAATGACATGCTTGGAGAAATTCCGCAAGTCCTGCATCGGTATGCAAAATAATTAATGGTCCAAACTAAACTGCAACGAGCAGAGTAGTCATACTCCTTCACTACGGAGGAGTAATGAAGTGAAAAAATAGAGGCTCACGCTTCCGTCCCAAGCTTTGAATTCCACATTCACCAGCAATAAGATATTCAAAGAATCTTGTCAAAATGAGCATTTTGACCTTTTTCATGCGAAAGCGGTCGGAAGAAAAGCAGTTGTACACGAAAATTTGAAGCACAGATTTATAAACGAGTGAGTTATAATCGCCATGAACACAAGCATCAGAAAACTTTTGGCGAAAGTCGTCCTTGCTCAGCGATGCCCTTCTACATAAGTGGCTAAGGAAATCGTCAAAGACTTTTTCCTCCGCGTCCGGCTGATCGAAGAAATCCATTTGCAGAGAAAAACCAGCGACAGCAGGGACTGTGCAGATATGAAAGCGGCGACTTGTGACTGCGAATAAGGCGGTTTTTTCTACAAATTAGTTTCTAGGCCATGTCACGTACATTAAACATGGACACGGTAGAGCACCTGTAGGCATAATAGCAAGTTGTGTACATATACATTGTAAAGTGCTTATAGTAACGGTAAGTGATACCCATAATATACTGGACAGAACAGGAAAGACAGGAGAGGATCCATGGACGAAGCAAGCTGCCGCTTAACCAACGCCCCGTTTCGCGTGCCAGTAAGCGAAAAAGAACCCCCAGCACAACGACTTGATAGCATTTTGACTTGATGCTATAGTGGTAAAAAAACAGAAACAAGTGCGTATCGAACAACACACTGTCATGAAGTAATGAGATTAGGGGCAGTCACTGAAGCTGAAGGAAATTCGGGAAACAGAGCCAGCCAATATTTGTCTGGGCTACAGTTAAACCCCTCCAGAGTTTCGCATGCTAATAGAGCAGAAGGAAGTTTATTACAAACAGGCACAACCGGCTTTGCGAAGAACCTTTTAAAGGACTCTCCTGCTCTCTGCCTTACAACGATACAATGCTGAGTAACTCCCGCCTAGGTATACGCGGCATCAATTTCTTGCTTTGGCCCCGCAAGTTGTGTGAAGTAGTTAGTTTAAAGAGATCCGTGGGCCTGAGAGCACTGAGACCCTACATGCCTTGGAACGTCCCTATTACGTCACATTTCAAGCTGCGTCTTCTAATACAGGACGAACCCGCATTAGTTAACCGATCATCATACGATAACCCGCACTAGCCTTCTAGCATTCTAGTGGCCCAGTGTTTTCAAATCAGCAATACAAACAGTATCTTTCTGCAGATAGGTTGCTCTTGCTTGAACAAAGTATTCCAGCTGTGCTCTGACCAAAATTTGAACATGGGAAGAAAGACCTATGCCTTGGTACAACTCATAACGCTCCTGAGACGATATAACTCGGCTCGCACTTTATTAGCCGCGTGCCTGCACGGCGCCGAAAGGTTCAAGTCACTCGCCATGATAAGACCTAGCGCACGTGCCTCGGCGTTATGTTGCAGTGCTAGGGACCCTTTAGGTTTATGCACAGTAAACTCCACATCACGCGGCGTTAGGATTTGACATTTGCCGGTGTTCATTGGTAGGTCCCACAAGTGTGGCCAATTAAGAACGGTGGCAAAGTCTCTAGATAACGAAGCGCTGTCTCCCCTGCTGACCATCTTCAACTCGTCTGCAAACATACAGGGGAGGCCTTCAAGTAGGTTTGCCAAGACATTTATAAACTTGCGAAATAGCGCCGGACCGAGTACTGATCCCTGGGGAACTGCGCTGTGAACTGTGCCTGCCGTCGCACAAACGTCACCAACCCTGACATTTTATGTCCTACCATAAAGAAATGCAGACAGTCAAGAAGGCAGTTTAGGAGGAATTCCGACTACGACACATCAGCTAACAAGAAACAATGATCCGTGGGATCAAAAGCTATATTGAATTCGATCCAACAAACTTCTACTGGTGTGCCATCATCGAGGCATCAAGTTCTTGCAAGGAAGCAACCCAACAGGTTTTTTGAGAAGTGAATCCTTATGGACGAAGCCATGCTGTTCTGCTCCGGCCAAGTTATTAGCAGTAAGCCGTTCACATATTTGGTTATTAATGATCTCTAAATAACTGAGAAGAAACCTAGTCAGACAAACAGGCCAGTAGTTATTGGGTGAAGATTTAGTACTAACCTTATGAATCGCCACTGCAATGGATTCTTTCCAATTCTGTGGTATTTTACGCACACGAAGTGACATGTTATACAACTCAAGAATAGGAAACTAGATTATGTCTGCAATCGGCTTAACAATAGCAGGATGCTCATTCTCAGGGTCAGGTGCTTTATGCGGGTTTACGTCCTTCAGCACGGAGAAGATACCTGACGTAGTTATGACGAGTTCGTCCATTTTGTACTCACTTATGCGAGGCGACAACAACGATATTAAAAACCATTGCGCGCTCCATGAACTCTCTGGAAAACACGCGGCAACTCATGCGCTTTAACTAGGTCTCCTGTAACCTGTTGCTCATCTTATGTTATGGTCCAAAACTACTTACCATAAAGGGTCCTCAGACCGGATGTAGCTGTTATGACGCTTTGGGTTTCCTTTGCGTTTTGCACCAGCTTAAGCTCATAGAGGTATTTGGCCTGTCTGTGCAGTTTGACCATCAAATGTCGACTTCTTCCGTAATGAAGCCACCTGCAGGAAGCACTGGAATCATGGAAAATTTTTCCAATGAATATTCCGCCGTTTCAACACCCAGTCAACATGCCGACGTCACCAGCGAAGCGTGTTTTTAACTGGCGACGGCACAACGGGCGAACTGTTCTAGCAAATGAGTGACGCCAGTTTTGATCACGTGCCACATCTGTTCCAGCGTTGCCTCCTATTTTCAGGAACCCAGGCAACGCGTACTGATCTAACCCTAGCAACTTTTGCTAATTCAGCTGAGAGCCTCGGTACAAAAATGAAGAAAGAAACAACCTAATGATCACCAACCTATGGAAGGCTCAACATTTATAGCTGACAAGCAACCCTACTTGGCGATCCCAATATCTATAGAAGAGGGGATGGTCTCACCACGACCTCTTGTTGAAAAATTGACGTGCTACACATTTAGCTGCATTGCACAGTAAAAATATAAAGCAAATATGGTGTCATCCATACATATATATATACACGTGCTAATTTTACGCAATAGTTTACATGCAGCGATTTTTATAAGTTGTATAACACCAAAACGAAACACTACCTAAATTTTAAACATACATAACAAAATGTTTTTAAGTTCCTCCAAGACACGGTTTAAATTACTTAGCATTATACACACAGTTCTGTTCAGCCGCAAATCAGCTGTACACTATTACGTCCTCCAATTGCGGTGTTCGCAAATTCTGTACACTCCAGCCTCCTACGATGATCTCATGGGTTATATAGGTGTTCGCTGATATTCACAACATGCTGCAGATCCCAACTAGCCATTGCCCATGCGTGAAACTTTAGCTTTCGGCTAGAAAACATTTAACCTAATACACTTCTAATCAATAGGCATTGTAATGGATATTGTCCTCTATTTAGAATGCGTTAAAAATCAGCTTATATACTTTACAATACACCGGAAGAAAACTTGACATTACACGACGAACTAGTGTAACATACTCCATAAAATTATTATGCTATTAGTTATAAGCGACCAACGCAATTTCTAATGTCGATAACTTCAATCGCTTGATTAGCACACTGAAATTATTTGGCTTATTAGTTGTTATGCCGGTGAAACTGCACGCTGAACACGGCAATTTTGCTGCACAGGTTTCGTCACCAATCGAGGTGACATCGTCAGTGCTTAGTTGGGTGGCGTGCAGTAATGCAGAGGAACGCAGTGGAGCCTCGGTGGGAGTGCGCTGGGCGTGGACTGTTTGCGTTTGTATACCAACGGCGTTGCCTGTGGAGTCAAGCAACCATATTGGTTAGGCTCTTGATCGAAATTCAGCCTGGTTGACTGGCAGATGACCTTTGACCTTGGAGCTTGTGTTTCGTGGCCTTTGTCTGCTTGAGCTTGTGAGCGAGTTTTTCGTCAGTTCTGCTTGACTAGTCACACGTTCCACCGGGTTCCATCGATCGCGTGGGTGGGCGTTCGCCAGTAATGTTGCGTATGCTGCGTCTAGTTTGGTGTGTCGATCGATTAAGTGCGTTGTTGAGTGCCAAGCTTACAAAACTTCCTCGCGTGTTTTGTACCTCCATGTGCTAGGAGCTTTACATACCCCAGATCAAAATGGTGGCCCTCTGGATCTTTATTGCGCAGAAACCAATGAGTGCGGAGCATGTCTTCTGACGGCCGCCTCGAGTTCGGTGATTCGTATACGAAGCTTTCTTCCAGTTTGTCCAACGTAGATTTTATCGCAGTTGCTGCATTTTAGCCGAAAGATGACACGGCATTACGCGACTTGTTTGAGTTTTTCTTTGGGTCTTGAGATCAATTTCCTTAGGGTGACACGTGGTTTGTGAGTCACAGAGCGTCCACGTGACTGCAGAAATCTTCCTGTGTGTTCGGAGACATGCTTGATGTATGGGAGCACTATTCGTTTGCTTGCTAGCTCAGATAAATGCTGCTGCTACGGATGCTAAGACATTCATTTCTTTAGGCTTCTTCTGATGAACTTTCTCAGATAACCGTTTTTCCTAAACTCTCGATATAGGTGCTTTCTTCCTGTTTCCGCGATTCGGCTGTGCAGCAGTGCGTTTCCGCTCTACTGAGTAAGAATTGCATGCAGCCCCTTTTGTGATTCATCGGGTGGTTGCCGTCATAATTTCATATTTGGTCGTAAGCGTTCTCTTCCGATATAGGCACGTTTGCAGAGATCCGTCGGAATTCCCAGTGACCAGTACCCCTAAAAATGGGAGCCTTTTATCCTCCTCTAATTCAATCGTAAAGTTAATATACTTGAATGTTCTATTGGACATAGCTCTCGGGGTCTGTGCTCTGTTCCGTTTTACGATGGAAAATGTATTGTCCACTTATCGTATTCAGAGTTTTGGCTTGGTAGATGGCAGTGGGATGCGCTCCGGTTTCTATCTTACGGCTTCTTCGGTGAGCCCCGCAATTGGGACCCATGGGTGTTCCTCCCAGTTGCTGATACACTTGTCCATCAAAGAGGAAATGAGTGGTCATGCAGAGGTACAGGCGTTCCCGAAAGCCTGTAGATTGCATGATTGTCGTTCGGCTTCCTTTCTTCTCATGTAATACCACCATGGTCACCTTGTCTAATTCGTGACCGGTTGGCGGTTCGAGGCTGTGGGTCATTAGCACCAACGCACAGCAACGTTCAGCGCTGCAATCCGTAATTTAACACGGTGTCAAAAGCACTAAGGACCCAAGCGGAAGTGCCTTGAACACAGTCAGAGACACTGGCTTGGAGGAATGACTGCACTAGTATTGAAGGATGGAGCAAAGAACTTTCACGCCGCCACCTCAAGTCAA